ACTGGGGGAGTGGATGGGTGTGAGGGTGTTCTGTGGTCACTGGCGTTTTTGTTGGAGGGTACTGTGGTGTCTAAGCAGGGTAGAGTTATTCTCAGACTTGGGCATGGACTGTCCATGCCCAACTGAACGTTTTACATTTACTGAATTACATTTATGTTTGATAGCTTGAATGCTTTAATGGGAAATCAAGAAAACTTACACTGATACATCATCACCAAGAGCGAGTCAAGGTTCAGGTTCAGGTTAAGGGCCTTTCCAAATAGTGTTATTTTATGAGCACCAAAATGTTGAGCCAAACGTGAATTAAATTGGCTTAAATTGAACTTGTGTATCCCTGCGTTTGTGTTGCACATGTTTTGCATTTAATGTGAAATGTGCAGGACATGCTCTGGAATGCTGTTGGCACAGTTTATCGATCGGACCTTTTTGTAGCTGCTTATTGTTACTAAGCAGAGAAGAAATTAGCCAATTGCATCCCCAGAAGCCCTGGAATAGTTCATCTATGTGTGTGTGTGTGTGTGTGTGTGTGTGTTTGTGTGTGTGTGCGTACCAGTTAAATTGTGTATTGACTATAAAATCCTGTTGCTGAAATATAAACATGATTACTGGCTATGTAAACGATTTAATCCCACCATTGTTCTGAGTTTGTTTGTCACAGTGCTACGTTTTTTGATGAGATAACACAGTTGCAGTTGCTCAGTATAGATGTGTATTCAGCTGTTGATAATCAGATCTACCCATATTGCAATCATGTAAATATATATAAGCATGGTGGGTTAGCGGTTAGCACATTTGCTTCGTACATCCAGGGTTGGGGGTCTCGCCTCTGCCCTGCGTGCGTGGAGTTCGCAGGTTTTCCCTGTGCTTCGAGGGTTTCCGCCGGGTACTCCGGTTTTCTCCACCGGTCCAAAAACATGCATTGTAGGCTGATTGGCGTTTCCAAAATTAAAGTCTGTAGTGTATGAACGGGTGTGAGAATGTGTGTCAGATCGGGCCCTGTGATGGGTTGACAACTTGTCCAGGGTGCGCCCCCGCCCCCCATTAACCTCATGCCCAAAGTTTCCCAGGATAGACTCCAGGCTCCCCATGAATTTACATTACACATAAAAACATCTTTAATTATGATGATGTACCAACGTACACAATGTACAAATGTTTAAATGTTTCCACTGCCCTCTACTGGGTAGTTTATATGTTTACAACAAAAAAAATGTAAATAAAACCCTCAGGCAATAATAAAGACAGCAAGCGGTAAATCAAACAGCCAATTTTAAGATAAGTACAGTAGGTTCAATTAAAGATCCAGAACAACAATTAGAAAACAAATGAAGAAAAGCACAAGAAACTCGCCTGCCAATTTATTAGAAACACCCTATAATAATAATAATAATAATAATAATAATAATATTAATAATGGTATAATGTTATTATATACAATATGCAATATATTATTGTATTTTATATAATAATAATATATTTTTATTCGAGATGTTTGAGCTTGTGTTTTTTGGCATGGTTCACGCTCACTTGGCGTGATGTGTGCAATGTGTGCAGAGAAAACATTCCCCACACCATTATACCTCCACCGGTGGTGACAGATAAAGAATGCCTTTCGCACATACACAAACACACACGGGCCACTTTGTTAGGAACACGTGTACACATTGCTCCTTTAGCAACAGCAGGACAATGCGTAAGCTCATGTAGATACAGATCAAGCACTCTAATTAATATTCACATGATTGGATTTTGGTGCCAGATGGGCTGGTTTGAGGATTTCAGAAACGGTTGATCTACTGAATCTATTGGGCACGAGTTCATCAAAAGTACACAGCTGACGATTTTAAAAATGTCACCTGGTCTGATGAAACTTGTTGAATTTCTGCTACAACATGCAGATGGTGGGGAATTTGGCATCAACAGTATGAATCCGTGGGCTTGACATGTCACAAACAAGTTGTTTCATGAACATGACAATGGGTTCAGTGTACTTCAATGTCCTCCCTAGTCACCATACCTAAATCCAGTAGAGCACCTTTGGGATGTGGAAGAACAGGAGATTTGCTGCATGAATGTACACACAAACAAACAAACCAAAAAAAATAAAAATTACATAATTGAAAGTATTATGTATACGTTATATTGTCATAAGGGTTTACAAATCAACCATATGACAAAATTATTTGTTTTGCTGAATCTATTTTATGTGCCATGCGATGGACTGGCACCCTGTCCAGGGTGTACCCCGCCTTGTGCCCGAAGCTCCCTGGGGTAGGCTCCAGGTTCCGCGTGACCCTGAAAAGGAGTAAGTGGTAGAAGATGGATGGATGGATGGATGGATGGATGGATGAATCTGTTTTACCCTCCTTACAGACTCTGAGACTTTTTTTTTTCTACCTTTGTCCCTCAGACAACTTCAGGAACCTGGTGGTGAACTTTTAGCACAGATTTACAATATAAAAAGAGGATAATCATGGATTAACTGAAAAGAGGTGTTTTATCGGCACAAACTTTTTGACCACAATGTTGGTGGGAAATCTTTCGTGAAGAAGTCCAGAGAGAGACCGTTTGCCATTTGCAGTCCACTGTAGCCAATAAGGACAAGAAATAAGGACTACTGTGAGAAGATTTACACCTAAGACGTTTACAAGAGTACAAGACCGCATACATAACGTGGCCAAAAGTATGTGGACACCAGGCGATCACACCCACATGATCATGTTGAACATCTCATTCCAAAATCCATAGGAATTCATATAGAATTGGTCCTCCCTTTGCTTCTGTAATAACCTCCAGTCTTCTGTGAAGGCTTTGTGGAGTGAAGGTGTGGAGATTTGTTCATTCAGCCACAAGAGCATTAGTGAGTTTGAGCAATGAGGTGAGAAGGCCTGGCATGCAGTCTGCTTTCCAATTCACCCCAAAGGTGTTCAGTGGGGTTGAGGTCAGGGCTCAGTGCAGACCACTCAAGTACTTCAACACCAACCTTGGCAAACGATGTCTTTATGGAGCTCACTTTGTGAACGAGAACACTGTCAGGCTAGAACAAGTTTTGGCCCCTTGGTGCCAGTGAGTGGTACTCATAATTCCTCATCATATGAAGACATTTTAGACAACTGTGTGCCTCGAACGTCATGGAAACAGCTCGGTGAATACCCACACATCGGGTGTCCATAAACTTTTGACCACACAGTGTACCTCTTGACTTGGAGACGAGATTTTTAAGTGGGTAACTCTTCTTGGAAGGCTGATGGAACATTTTTTTTTATTTTTATGGGTTATGCTATTGTTACATTCTATTTTTCCAAACTGCATGATGGAGTATGTTCATAAATCATGTAATAATCTATGAACATACGTCTACATACATTTAATGAGGTTAAATGACCCTTTTAACACGATAGTTGTGGCGCAATATGTGATGATGTAAGTAGATTACAGTATTCGTGTATTCATAATGTACTGATTAATTAAACATTTTAAACTCATTCATTAAATCAGCAAAGAAATGATCATTTAAAGCAATTTAATAGAGGATCCCATATAGAAAAATGAACACTATACTAATGTATACATTCTACATAATTGTACAAGAGGTGGCAGCAACGGGCTGTAGATTAGAATTTGTATTTTGTTTGTTTGTTTGTTTGTCTGTTCGTTTGTTTTAGCAGATCATTCAGCGAAAAGATAAGACCAGCAATTTCTTTGCAAAGTTTAAAACTGTGTACAGGAAATGGGGGGCGAAAAAAAATAAAATCGAGTACTGAATACTAACATGTCCTGGATCCATTCAGGAAACAAGCTTGCATAATATAGGAAGTGGAAGACAGCGTCTGGTTAACCATATCCTGAATCAGTCTGAAACGTTAGAGCATGTGCCAGTTCAGTCACGCTTCCTCAGCAGAAAACCCACTGTCAGTTTTTTTTTTTTTTAAATGTTGAGTTTTTGTTTTGTGTTACTGCAAAAGTATGAATAATGGATTGTGATTTCGTCACCATATATCTGGTCTGCCTGAGAAAGAACACTGTTCATAAAAAAAAATAAAGTAAATTCATTTAAAATGTGAATTTAAAAAAAAAAATTCACATTTATATATATTAAAAAAAAAAACATTTTTAAAGAGAGAAAAAAAAAATCTGTACATGGATCAGCAACCAAAACAGTATAAAGATACACCAATAAACAGTACTCATAAAATGGCGATTGATAACTATAATGATAAACAAAATTATACGCGTTTGATTCTGATTAATGCCCCGGTTCCAGCTGAGGAAAAACAGCCGCAAAACTTGATGCTGCCACCACCATGCTTCCTCGTGGGGATGATGTTCTAGTGGTTTAGTGTGCTGTGTTTTTATGCGCTAGCTTTCTGACACCTACTTGCACCTACTTTTTTATATATATATATATATATATATATATATATATATATATATATATATATATATATATATATATATATATATATATATTTAAACAAACAAACATCCAAGCCCAACTAAATCACCCCAAACCACGTGGCAAAATGTGCACAGCACAGCACCAAAAACAAACACAGCACCAAAAAACACTATACACATAGTACAGCATGGTGATGAAAGCACAAACTGGGGCTTTTATGAAGGTAGAGGGAATCATGAATAGCTACAAACACTAGTTGATTTTAATGCAAAACCTTGAAAATGTATTTCACCTTCAGCAAAATTCCCCAAGGCATACACCCAAATCAACAAAGGAATGGATTAACCAATAGAAGATTCCTGAATGGCCTAGCCAACGCCCAGACCTGAATCCAACTAAAACTCTGTGGGGTGACCTGAAACAGGCTGTGCAAAAGAGATGCCCTATAATTACTTGGATCTAGAATGTTTTTGCAAGAAAGAGTGGGAAAATATCGCCAATTCAAGATGTGCCATGCTGATAGACTCTTACTGAAAAAGAATGAGTGGTGTAATAAAATCAAACGTGGTTCAAAAAAGTATTAGCTTAGTAACAAAGGTGGGCAGGGCTGGCTTGACGGTTAAGGCTCTGGGTTACTGACCAGAAGGTCGGGGGTTCAAGCCCCAGCGCTGCCACTGTTGGGCCCTTGAGCAAGGCCCTTAACCCTCTCTGTGCGAGGGGCACTGTATCATCTCTGACCCCAGCATACTGGGGTACACTGATCAATAAATTCTTATCAATATCATTTTAATATATACATATATATTCATACTGTATATTCATATATTCAGAGTGCCGAGGCCTTATGGGCTATTCTGCATTAGAAATGCGCAGTACTGGGGAGCTGAAGTTGGAGCTGGCTCGCTGACTGACAGCTCCCTGACATTGTCTAGTCTCTGGTTCCAGACTTGAGTCCATGTTTAGTGGTTGGCTGAGCTGAATAAGACTGGTCTGGTGGAAGGGAGGGAGCAGACTGCAACCTGGAGAAGATCCAAGACACGTCAGCCTCTCCTGCAAGTACTGGCTATAAACTTCTTGGAGCTTCTTGTCCAGGTAACCGTTGAGCATGGAGTTAGTTGGCGGCTCCCCATTGAGCATAATGCTGCTGTCCATGACGAGGTAGCCGTCATCATGTGAAAGAGGGTGAACCTTTTTGCTCTCTGTGATGCTATTCAGTCGCAGGTCTAAAGACAGATTGTCCAAGATACTATTAGACTCCTCCGGTTGACTCGGACTTACATAGGGCTTTCCATCATGATTTGAGATGTAGAGATCAGGTCCGTTGTGAGGAACTTTGGCCTTAGACAGTTTCTGCACAGGCTTGACATCTGATCCTGGCTCAAGAGATAATGTGTCTGTTAAGGTATGTTACAAGGAAGCATTGTATGACTGTTCTGAATGTGCTCTATGTTCACATTTGGGGAATGTTTTTTTAGTGAGATATTCCAAAACTCACCTTTAACCTGCACAAGTGTGTAGGACTCATGAACACAATCAGCAGAAGGAGAGAATGATGTCATGTCTGGAGAGCATATAGCCTCCTCTCTGTAGTTTAACATGAGTATGAAGCTCTCTCCCAGCATTTCTAATCAAACCTTCGGCTACAACAGGAACACTGTGCCACAGTAGCAAGTATGTTAGCATAAAGGCAAAACTGTAGTAAAAAACATGTCACAAGACATCATCCGAGTTAAGGGAATATTGCAGAAAATAACGTACATAATATACAGTTGCAATCAAGATTATTCAACCCCCAGTGCAAGTCAGGTTTATTTAAAAAAAAAAAAAAATCACAGACTTTTAGCTGTTTGCGATGAACAAATCAACAAAAGCAATTGAAATAGCTCAACACAATGAATGCTTCAAGAGGTTTCCACAAATTCAACTGAAAATGCAACTTATAATCACTTCTCCAGTGTCAAAATTATTCAACCCCTTCATGGCGAGCATCTTTAGTACTTAGTAGAGCACCTTGTTGCTGTTATGACCTGCTGCAAACAAGATGCATAGCCAGATACCAGCTTCTGGCAACATTCTTGAGGAACCTTATCCCATTCCTCATATGAGCAATGACCTCCAGTTCAGTAATATTCTTGGTTTTGCGTGTTTCTATCACCTTCTTCAAATCCCACCGTAGAAGTCAGGTGACTGTGATGGTCCTTTAGAATCTTCCAGAACTTCTTCTGCAACCAAGCCTTGGTGGAATTTGAGGTATGCTTGGGATCATTGTCCTGTTGGAAGTTCCAATGACGCCCAAACTTCAGCTTCCTCACAGACGGCATGACGTTTTCTCCTAGGAGTTTCTGATACTTCAATGAATCCATCTCGCCTTCCACACGCTGCAGGTTTCCAGTGCCAGAGGATACAAAGCAGCCCCAGAGCATCACAGAGCCACCACCATGCTCGACTGTGGACAGAGTGTTCTTTCTTCATTCTTCTTCCTCCAGACATACCGCTGATCCGTCGTGCCGAAAAGTTCCAGTTTTATTTCATTGCTCCACAGAACAGAATCTCAAAACTTCTGTGGCTTATTTATATGATTTTGAGCGACTTTTCTTGTGCTTTTGGGTCAGTAGTGGTCCACGTCTTGGAGTTCTGGCATGGAAACCTTCTGCGTTTAGTACGCGCCTTACTGTGCTCACTGAAACCTCAGTGCCTGTTACACAAAGTCTTGCTGCAGGTCTTTAGCAGTCACTCGAGGGGTTTTCACAACCTGCCTTCTCAGAAATCTGTCTGCAGCCATCGATAGCTTCCTTTTTCTGCCCCATCCAGCTATTAATATGTTTTCTACCCCGAGCCAGTTCAGGTATTTCATGTGTTCCAGCTCAGGCACACCTGCTGCAACGAATGAAGACCTCGATTGCTTTAGCATCAGGTGTGCTTGAGACAACCCCTGTTTTGCATATTTGTGCTGGTGTAAGGGAATCTGTTCAGGGGGTGAATCATTTTGAATCTGGAGAAATCATTATAAGGTTCATTTTCAATTGAATTTGCGGGAAACTGCTCGAAGCATTCGCTGTGTTGAACTATTTCAATTCATCGCACACAGAAAGTCTGTCAATTTTGACAATAAACCTGATTTGCACTGGGGGTTGAATAATTCTGATCGCAACTGTAGCTATGCATGTACATCATTTTTATATGTATAATATCTGTATTTTACATCTTTCTGCTAATTTAGAAAACAAGTCAATTACACATCTTGAAGATATAACAAGTTCATTTACTGTAAAGTCTTGTCTAAAATTTCTAGTACTGTAATTCATTTCTGCATTTGACCCTAATTGTTGTAATTATTATTACTACTATGTTGTGATTTGTTTTTAATATTTTTTTTTATTTTGAATAAGCATTGTTAGTTGAAATCAAAACTAACAAAGACCACTGAAAATGTAAGGCCTGGTCACTCAATCGTAGAAATTTCTGTTAAGATCAAAGAAACTAATTTTAATCAGATTTACATATTATAAAGTTTGAGGACAGCATGCAATTATGAAAGGTGAAAGTCATATCCTTCACCCAGCGTAATGCAAACCCATTTTAACCCCTGCATATGATTAAAAAAATCTAACTGCTTACCAGAGTAATAAAGATTTTATGGTGATATGGAGTCTAGCACTGGAGATATATCCAAGAGCCAAGTGGTGAAGTTTTGGCGAATTCCTTTCTTAGCTTTTTTTTCCCTCAAAATCGAAACTTCTGTATGTCCATATGAGAGCTTTTCAGTCTCTGAAAGAGGAATTACTGCTTAGTTCCCGGAGATCATGCGCCGAGTCAAAACTGTGGTAGATTATGAAACAAGCAGATCCCCTATTTTGCAGTGAATGGAAAAAATCTTCCTGATTTAAGTAACTTTCTTTTTCTTTCTTTTAACAGAAAGTGTTATTTCCATGCAGGCATCATTGTAACGGTACAAAAATCCTAGTGAATCTTACAAGTTAAGATCCTGTTCTGAAACTTCATTGCGTTTTTTTTTAAATCTCTAAGTAAATACGTCATCACCACAGGAGGATATATTGGTGAAGGTTTAAGAGTGCCTTTAAGGTTTCAGCATGCAGAATTTTTTTTTTCCTTTATATACTGTAAAGTGATTGCATGGGCAAATGTTTAATAACATACATCAGAGAGAGAGAGAGAGAGAGAGAGAGAGAGAGAGAGAGAGAAAGAAAGAAAGATCAGGCTTTACCACCCCCTAGCTTTCATGATCATAAAGAAAGGAGGGATTCCAACTGCAAGGTGAGGGCGAGATTCTATATATAAAATTTCTATAGGTTATATACATCAACTCTATAGAGAATAATGGCAGAAAAGTGGAAGAAGAAAGTTAACAGAGGGAGTAAGAATAATTATGGAATGACTGAAGAACAGAGTAAGAAGGTTGGTTAATAGAATTCATTCTGGAAGAGGATTAATAATTATGGGAGGAATAAAATTCTTCTCATTGGTTACAGACGTATTTGTTGAGCTCATTCACAATACATTGCTTATGACTACAATCAAGATCTACACTTTTACTGTATTACTAAGAAACAAAGAACTAAGAAAGCACACGCATCGTCCACTTTAATAGGAACACCTATACACTTTCGGGCAGTCACACGGACTTACCAAAACCGGACAGTTGAGGACTGGGAAAAAAACAGATGAATTGTTCCCTAATCTTGTCAAACGGACCAGTTTGGGTGCGCCTGTAATGCTTTTCTGCTCACCATGGTTGTGGAGTGATTATTTAAGTTACTAGACCCTTCCTGCCAGTTCAAAACTTAAGACGTTTCCATCCACAAAACAGTTGCTCGCTCAATGTTTTTTTTTTTTTTGCTCAGCATTTTTCGTCGATTCTCTGTAAACCCTAAAAACCTTCATGTGTGAAATTCCAAAGAAAACAGTAGTTTCTGAAATACTCAAGCCAGCCTTTCTGGTATCATCACACGTGCCGTGATCAAAGTCACACACTACCCATATGTTTTCTTGGTAAATGAGAACCGTTGTCAGGGTTTTTATTTTTATTTATTTATTATTTATTTTAGAAAAAAAAAATACAATTAAAAAAACCCCAGAAGAAGAAACAACCATTTAAATTAAAACAATGATTTATTGTCCTGCCCACTTCAATAATACAATTCTTCAAAATTATTTTTGGCATATTTTTTATTTGCTCATAAAATAGAAAAAAAAAACTTCTTTTTTTTTTTTTTACACTATTAAGACACTCTGAAGAATGACTTAAAGGTACACTAAGTAATACTTATACTGAACGATAGATCATTACAAGGATTATAGTTGGTATTGGGACCTCACATTTAACAAGCGGTGAATAGAATTATTACATTAAATGACACGTATAACGAAAAACTGGAAGTTCACAACCCGAACTGCCTCCTGATTTTAAGGAAGCTACCAAGAAATGACAAGAAATTAAACTACACCCAACAATGAATCTTTTTATTGTTATACTTAGTGTACCTTTAAAAAGGTCTCCAAAAGCTGAAACACTGAAAGACAAACACATATCCTTTGAAAGCTAAAGCATGAGTGACTAGCCTTTATGCTAACAATGACTAGCACAAATGTTTACTACCTACTGTAGCCCTTTAACATTATTTAGCAGGGAATTTTTTTTTTTTAAGACGCAAA